TGCGGTCCTTGCTGGAGTTACCTCTATAGTTGTTGGGAGTTGTAGTAGCAACAAACAGTAAAAATTTGTAGCAGTGATAGAAATAGAAAGTGTATTTTGCCACTTTATTGCACAACTGAACATTAAACACTCAAAAATTGTCTGCTGAAGAATATCTTTTTAGTTCGCGTTTTTACGATTTATATTTTGTCAAAACCTTTAATTAAGATACTTATCGAATTTGATGTCAAATTTTATTCTTTCTTGCAGTTGCAGCATAAATTGTGGGTTTTGATGCTGTTTCTTTTGACACACAAGCTTTATTTTAATTTAGGTTTGAATTCTTGTTTTTTCCAATTTTCTGATTTTTTATCTAATTTTATTCTTTTCTTTTTTGTCAGAAGCTTTTTGAGAAATAAATAACTAATTTTAATGTTTTATAGTTTTGCTTCATTTTGATTTTGAGCACGTTCTTATGACAATAATGTCTTAAGTACTAACACAAGTAGCACTCTCTTGTGGGAACTGCTTTTGTTTCTTGGTGTTTCACAGTTGTTGATTGGTTACTTTAAAACAGTAATGACTTTTATGATTACAGGGTTTTTAAACTGATATCTGTATACTTACTTTTATTGTATGTGTTATTTCCAGGGAGTTGTTGGTTCATTGAGGAGTGGGAAAACATCTTTAGTTCATCGCTTTCTTACCGGAGCTTATACGAACGAAGAATCACCCGAAGGTTGGATTTTTTAAGTCTTGAAAGTTTCCTTCTGAATAAAATGTCATCGATAGTTTTTGGTAAAATCATGGTGTTCGATAATGCTGCAGAGATGGGGCTATTTTTATTTGATTTTTATTTTTATTTTGTCTATTTTTATTTTTATAGCAGTATTGTTATATTAATCAGGTTTTTGCTTTAACAGTTGTAAACTTGCAAATTTTGAGTAAAGATCATAATATTTGGAACGTTTAGCGTAAGTAACCTTGTTTGTAGGTGGTCGATTTAAGAAAGAAGTTGTTGTTGACGGCCAAAGTTATCTTCTTCTGATACGTGACGAGGGTGGTGGGACTCCGGAGTATCAGGTAATGTTATAGGACAAAGAATTTTTTACTGGAAAATACGCTTATCTTAAGGCGTTGTTTTTTTGTTAAATTTAATTGCTTCTCATTCTCCAATCCACGGTTGTTTTTGATTTGGTGATAAGAGTGAAAATTAATGAAAATTTGCATTGATTATTGTTTGGGGAAATTGCCTCCTATCTCATTAGTGTGTTGCCATATTGAAGATAGTTGCTGGAAAGGAAAAATATTGTGACATTGTTCTCATTTGGTAGGCTGCTTTTCTCGTGCTAAGCTATAGGGTCTTGTTGCGAGAATATTTTTTAGCAAATTAGTACCGAATAATAAAAGGGCCAATTTTGTTAGGGTTTTTTGCTTGTAGTTTTTGGAGGCGGAAACCGAAAACCATTAACTACGCTTGTGGAAGAAGACAGGTGGGTACAATGGTTGGGTGACAACTAGGTTTAAAATGTACTAGAAATTATTCGCAGCATTCGCAAGTCGGTGTTGATAATTAAGCCCGAAAATTGAAGCAGCTGAAATAGGTGGATGATGGAAAATAGAATAGACTCAAGTGTAATTAAAATTCTTTTTTACTGTAAATAAAAAATTAGAATCATAATATGGATTTTTTTGTTTTACTTTTTTATCTGATTGGTTTGAGTATCAAAAGTAATTTTAGATGACTTGAAAACTTCGCTATTTTGATAGGAATACTGAGTTTGGAAGAAACGAGTAGAATTTTTAGCTTATTTTAAAATTTAACAAGAAAATTAGTTTTGTAGAAAGTTTACTTGGGAGTCTGTTTATGATTGTTGGTTGAAGAGGAAGTGTTTTTGTTTCGAATCTTATTCTTTTTTATTTTTATTTCTATTTATTAGCGTGCTAAAAAAATTTTTGAAAACAAGCTAAGTAGATACAGTACTGCTGGATAGATTATACTAAAAGCTACTGAAGTTACCTTACGTAATTCTATGCATGTCTGTGAGTGTTTTGCTTGGTGCTAATCTTGTGGTCGATGTACCTACCGTATTTTTTGTACTGAAAGTATTTTCTACGGGTTTTTCATTCGTTGCTTCTTGTGTTTACTGTTGAAACTTAGTTTGAATAGCTAAAGAAAAAGTAACGATAATAGAGAACTAATTTTTCTCTTTTTTTTTTACAGTTTTCGCAGTGGTTTGATGCTGTAGTTTTTGTATTTTCTTTGGATAGTCGAGAAAGTTTTGAGACGGTATTGCGATATTACAGTCAGATGGCTAAGTGTAGAAACTTAAGCGATGTTTCGGTACTACTTGTTGGGACACAGGTAACATTGTTTCATTTATCATTATGGTTTTTGCGTATTTTCTTTCGTTTTTTGATTTTGCTGAAATATTATTATCATTATTACTGCACTGTTATTCCTATTGGAGCTGCTGTTTAACTGTGAAGCAGTATGATGAAGTTAAGACCTGTCAGTGTAAATTAGTAGAGGAAAACAAAAGATGTGGGGGAAAATAGGGAGTTTCTTGGTCAGAACGGAAAAAAAACTGTTCTTATTGACGCTTCTAATAATTAATTTTTTTTATTTCGTTATCTTTGTTTTATTCTTTTCTAAATATTAGGTCAAACGTTACTTACGGTTAATAGGTTTTTTGGTAATGTTGTTGTATTTGTCGTTGGCCAAGAAAGGTAGGGGTCATAAAATTTTATGTCGCTTCTTGATTTACACTTACTTGTAGGATACGCTAAGTGAAACTAATCCACGGGTAATTGACGAACAAGAAGGGCGTCAAATGGCCAAAAATATACCTCGATGTACATATTATGAGACATGTTCAACTTACGGATTGAACGTAGAACGTTTGTTTAAGGATGGTTAGTCAATTTGATTGATTTTCATAGAGCAGATATCTCACCTTTTCAGCCTGCTTTAATTATAATGATACTGCCACTGCATTTGACAGGAGTAGTGGCTTTATGTAACTCTTTGTTTATTTATTTTTGTTTTTAAACTTTGTTATTAATTAATTATTGTTGGTTTATGAAAAAATTGTGGAGAGCAGGGGAACATAATCTATAAATTAATTTGGTCGGTGTTGTTGTGATATTTTAGAAGTGCATGGA